CGTTTCATTGTGTGGTTGAAACAACCACGCCTTGATCGGATGTAGCAAGAACCCTGTAACTCACGTATACCCTATACTCTGTTGTAACACTCAAAAGTACATTTTACATCGAGTCTACGAGCCAGCTCTGAGAACTGTCCTGGAAAAGCGCCAAGGCAGGGTGACTTGACTCACGAGTCAACAATACAAAATTTGTTGATCATGAGTGACTCGGGGGTACTTGTGGTACACCCATTGTTTGACCCGATCCTTCAGCGTCCATGTTTATTGTGCGATGGGCCATCGCCCGATTTCGACGAACCATGACCACTAGGCTGTGAATGCCACACAACGATCATAAGCGAGCTACTACGGGTATAAATATCGAGCCCCGAGGTACCATCGGCCCAAACGATCTTTCTCCTCAGTCTCACCCGAAGACCTTCAACCCAAGTACGCCTTGAACATGACATTCTTGCCAAGTACTGACATCCTTTCCAACTTAGTCAACCATCATAACTATGTCGGATATTGCAAATGCCACATCCTCTTCTGGCATCATTCAAGGCCTCTCTCCGCGGCTCAATGACGATACGGTTGCCTTGTTTCAGAAATTCCAGGTTCTAAACATAACCGCCACATCGGACTCTATACAGGGGAGCGCCCCTGGTCCAGCATTCACCAACCCGTTCCAAAACAATGCTCCAGTTCCGATAGACGGCCCCCCACGAATTCAACGAGATCGGTTCACACCAGCCGGTCTGTGAGCCTCTGGAAACCGAAGTCGACTAGAAGTTGGGGCAATCGACGCGAAGAACCAACGACAGCCCTATCTACGACCTCGTCGTGACCCTCGCACAGCTATGTCTGAAGCCATTGTATCGATGTATATCACATGTAGGTACCACCTGCTATAACAACGAGAAGAAAGCAACCTTGCAAAGACGTTACTACACCAAGATACAAGATAGATATGGATTGAGTTAGACCGTTAGTCGTCGTCGGGGGTCCTGTGAAATCCTCGTCAATCGTAATACTTCTGAGGCCCACCAGGACCCAGAGACATCAACAATACCCAGCTTCCGTCCCTCCGTACATCGACCCGCATCCCATGGAAAGTCAAGTACGTCCCCAACACGTCGCTTCTTCTGTAGTTGCTGAAAGCATATATATCCTCCGCGTCAACTACACTCGTCAACTCCGTCCTCAATCCGCGTTGCCTTCTCGCAGCGACCAAGCGATCCATATTACTATACTCGGTCCCAGTCTGTGTCCCTGTACACGCTTGAAAATCCGCAAAGGACAGTTTGGTATAGAAATAATCATGCACATCTTGTAAAATATCTTGTAGAGTAATCTTATCTTGACGTTGAACGATGATGGGACCCCAACGCGCAGGGTCCATCCACCATGCGAGGCAAGGGTTGGAGGAATATAGAGGATCAGCTTCAATCCATATCTTGTGAGGGAGTCTGCCAGGGAATACGTTCACATTCCGTCCAGGATCCACATTTAAAGCGGTGTCGTCCAGCCCCACGGAGAGAATGGTTCCATATCGAGAACGGAAGGAAGCATGATATGGGTCCTGAATGATATCCCAGCGGAGTCCGACAGGGTTGGTGGACCCGCGCGGATTATGGACGAGACTCGGATGAATCTTGGCGGGAAACGAAAGCTGAGAAGGATTCGTAGGATGCATCGAGAAGTTCGTGGGTAGTTGCTGGGCAGAGAAATCGATTACAGGAGGGAAGAGGTCGGGTTCGGGCGGGTAGTAGATGTAATCATCGTTGGGAGGAATGAAAACACCGCCGTTTCCTCCTCTGCCACCGCCGCTTCTATCAGCGTCATCGTCCTCTTCCTCAAGACGAACACTTTCGCCAGAACCATCGGCCTCCCGGCCGCCGGATTCAAGCCCAGGCCGACGACGAGCTTGCCTGCAAGTCTCCCCGTCCCAGTGAAGATGAGGCTCGTGACCTAAACCATCTTCGATATTTACTTCAGGGGGGCGCTCGTCCTCATAGCTCCCGTCCCTATCGGCGACATTTTGTGCGGCGGTACAGTTTTGGAACCGCTCGGGTTTACGACGTTGAGTATGGACGTGCCCGTGCTGGACGGAGACAGGCGTAGAAGGGATTACATGATGTCGAAGAATTGCATTTCGATTACCTCCTCGACAACTGATATCGGAAGTAGCACCTCGACTCCGGTTACCCTGAGCACGTATATTCTGTTGATGACGATGTTCCGCAGCTTCTGCGGCTCGACGAATCGGCGATCCTCTATGTTGCTGCCCGGGTACCCCCTGTGGCGATGACGCGCGGACAGGTATTGGCACCGGAATGACCGGGAATGGTTCTCTGGTTCTTCGCGAAGATTCAGGCTCCGAAGACGTTGAGGAGAAGTCTGCGGCTGGTTGAAAAGGCGTTGGTCGGTCATTGAGATTAAGAATATCTGATATCCGGGGTTGGCGAGCCTGCGATGTCGACGGAGTGTTCGAAAACCTCATTTGATTGCCCGACGTCTGTGTGAACCCGCTCGCAGGCGTGAGGTCCGAACGCTCGACTGGATAACTTCTGTCAGCGTTTTGACAGCGACTGGATAAGGGGCCAGTCAAGCTCACAATGGGTAGGGTCCAAGTGGGTGCGTTCGTTGTGTGGCTGATGGGCAGCATGAGGCTGCTGAGTCCAAATGTTCTGAGTGTGCTGTTGTGGTTGTTGGGCCTGTTCAGTAAGAGACTGCCCTCGTTGCGTGCCTCCGCCTCGAGTGCCAAGCCGTGGTGTTAGTGCACGGACCAACCAGAAATATGGTCCTCTCACTTGTTCCTTCCCCTCTAGCGACCAGAGGAACCTGAATATGCTGGCTCGATGAATTACGAGGCCGGGGAATGAGAGTGGCTGCATCATCTTTGAAGTAACAGAACAATATCAATGGAATATATGAGTGTCAAGGTTGGTCGACTGACCCCGCTCAAGGTATGGTTCCAAGCGCCGAAAAAATTCCACGAACACTTGATAGTCCTGTTCAGGAGCTTTTCATCCTCGTCAACAAAGTAAAGGCGAGATGAAGAGTTGTGCTTACAAATACCAAGGCTCGCCAAGAAGTCGTTGTAATGTGACCGCAACTCACGAGGAAAGGCAGTCGACGCTGATACTAACAATGTACCACGTTAGCTCCAGCGTACCAGAGTCAGGGAAAACTCACTGGGGTCAAGAGTATTACGAAAAAAAGTGATGACGTCTTTAAGATGGGAACCTGAGGAGATACATTGAGAGACAACACCCAGAGTAACATAGGAACTTGGACCCACCATTCTCGGATACCAGCGCTCGGAGGCCACGAAAGGAATGAGTAATTGCCGAATCGAATCGAAACGTAGAGTTGAAGATCCCACTCTGCTCGCGACCTCGTGAACGAACTCGATGAACTAGAAAACAAATCGGTTAAATTTGATTCGGCGGTGAATCAATTTCATCTCACATCCATCCTCGCTCTCTACTGTTCGTGCAGGCGCACGAGGGAGGGGCTGCCTGGAACCAGCTGGCTGGAATTCTAGTTGTTGGACGGGATTACCGCTGTCTCGCCGAAATTGGGTGCCCCCAGTCGGTGCGCGTGGTATTGGGAACCGCGAGCCAGGTGCTAGGCTTTGTAGATTATCAGGCTGAGTGTTCATGCAGACTGGAACGGGGTTGAGGGTGTGATCCCGCTCTTGTCCCTGCCGCTGAGGGAATATACGATGAATCCAGTTCGCGATAGGTGCGAGGCGTCGCGATGTGTAGACCTCGAGAAGGTGTGGATGATGCCCAAGTACTAGATTAGATATGGGATCCGAAAATCCCTTGACTAGAGTGACCAGAAGTGTCGGCGAGGGGTATCCTATTGGAGACGCAACGTACCACATTCTGAGCTTGATTGTAGAAGCTCTCTTGCCAAATACGTGAAGCCATTCTGCCGGCTGCAAGCATAGGTCATTTCTGAGAATTTTGCCGCGAATTGGTCGTATAATTCGGCAAAATCAGTGTTATGGGCACTTCGTGAATCATGTAGGCAATTAGCCAAAAAAAGGACGAGGCTATCGCAGATAATTCTGGTGTATGTCTGCCACAAATGTTTCGGAAACAGTTTGCCTAAAAAGGATCAGTGCTTGTAAGTGACAGCACGACGAATGGCGTACCTTCCGACCAGCCCTTCTCAACCTCCGCTACCCTACTTTCTAGAGATAGAGCCAAAGATTTGAAGGAAAGTGCGGGATCTACAAGTAAAAGAATAGAAAATGAGTATTGTGGAAGTCGAAAAGAGAGCAACGTACTTGGTTGCCCAGCGTTCATCGCCATCCACTGGAGTTAGTTGCTGCATCGACAGACATCCAGTCTGATTATAAGGCCTCATCCTTGGACACGGGATTGTGGGTTCTTCTTCCTAACCTTTGTCTTCATCCACTGAACAACAAAGTCTCCCATGGTAACCGGGAAGAGAACAACGCTGCTGTGGGTTCCTGTGGGAGTCTGTGTGTGTGCGAAAATGCCATGTCAAGCGCCACTGATGACTCTTGTTGTGGTTCGAAATTCAGGACAAAAGCAACAGTTTCTTGCTTTCGAGGGGGAAGAGGGAGCCTGCACTCAATCATCGGAAGTGCTCGGTTTCGATGGAAACGGAAGGATCTGAGATGAGGGTGATTGGGTCGAAAATTGGCAAGATAGAGCGATATGGCAGTCAAGGTCGTGTCATGACCGTGGCTGAACGAAAATTAGCAGAAGGTCACGATCGACGTCAATGTTCAACCAACGAGGGCAACCCGAACACCGCCACAACCGGCGGACTGAATCGGACTGACTAATGCCATCATCGGCCCCGTATCCTCTCAACAAGGTTTTCATCGTTCAGCCGTATGTATGTACTAGTCGCACAGTCGATAGTACCGATAATCTTTGCTAGAAGTACCAATTTCTTCAAATGTTTACCTGATATGTCTCACGATTGCGAAGATCGTCTGACTTAATGTTGCCTCAAACCGATTCTCCCAAGCTCAAGTGGTCTAACGGTTATGATGCGACCTTCCCATAACGCCAGACAGGTCGCGAACGGGGTTCGACTCCCCGCTTGAGCATTTTTATACCAGCTACCGGTGCACTGTTCATCGCCTCAGTAGCAAATGCAAAGCATTATGGTCCGTCATCTCATATAGAGGACTTTTCGGCGAAGCGAAACACCTGCAAGGCTGGCACGCGCCTCTCTGAGACCGTACCATAACCACCTGAGCACCCTGGCCTACCATACTGGAAAGCGTTGGTTGTCAGGCGTTGGGCACATGGTTCAGCGAGTCCTGAGTGTTACACAATGACACCTTTCCTTTGACCTCTTTTCTGGGCGACCAATGCGAATTTTTCATTGTGCTCAAACCCTCCGGCCCATTGTCTGCCACATACAAGCTCTGGATAATCGATGTATGCCACAATCATTCGCCCTCATATAAAAGCTCTGGAGTAACTGTGGTATCCGCCGCATATTACACCAAGAATACATGGCAGAACAACGTCTCCCCCTCAAAATTCGCCTCGACCTCGACCTCGACCTCTTTGAAGCATTCTCAGCACCTACTTCTCCTTCGACCTCCGACTCGAGTCTTACCGCTTATGATAGCGACGACTCTCCCCCCACCACACCCGAAGGATCACAGAGCGAGTTGGTGCGTCTCGACCCATATTCTCACTAGAAACAACATCTGAGTTGGTGTCATGGCCAGGACTCAGAAAACGACGAATGCCCGACCTTTTTCACCCCTTCAAGTACACCCCTCGAAGTTACCACATTCGAGAAGATAGCACTGAACATTGGACACCGAGGACTGGTTGACCTCACCCCATTTGGTGTCACGGATGGGATACTAGAGGGGATCAACTTCCTGGATACGAGGGACGACGACTTGAGCAAAAAGGACGGGGGCAGCCAGGACTCATACGCTCATGGGATCGTCGATCTGGCATATGAGGTACTCGCGCAGCAGGAATCACCTCAGTCGCCTGTTACATCGATGAATCTTGTGGAGCCCGAGGATGAGTTGATCTCGAAGAAATAGCAGAAGTCAGTAATCATCTCCAAGTTGCTTCCAAGTACGAGGAATGTTGATCGTGCTGTCACTTAGCCCTGTAGGTTCTACACAGGATTTCTGGAAGAAGAAATCCTTGTAATGAGAGTCCTACGACTCTCCGCTCACCATATCCCGTAGACACCTTCGGACACCCTGTATGCTGGCCCTGAAAGCCTGAGTGACAGCTCAAAACTCGATATATTATCTTCTCTCATATTCCACTGTATATGCTCCACGTGCCTGCCAGTGTGTATTATTGTAAAAATGTTCAATATCTGGATAATATTTGGCCTAAGTTCGACTTGCGAATGCTTGCGATGAGTACGGAAACGATAAGCCTGCTAGGACACTTGTTCATTACATGCTGAACGACTCCAATCTCTGAAAGAGCGGGTGTATTTGACAAGATTGGCAAGCAAATGTCAAGATTCCTCCACTGACACGCCTCTGGAGTGGTGGGTACAACGAGATGATTGAATCGTCCGGATGCGGCGAACTTGCGTCGAGGGAGAGCACCTAAACCGGGGAGCCATCTGTTGTGCAGGCATGACATCTTCAACGAGCGCATAAAGGTGTGGCCAGAAATTTGGAGAGCTACTCAGAGTGACTGATTTCTTGGGCCCAGTGATTTGCGGCGATTTGGGAGTCCAAACCATGGCAGGATCCGGGATAAGACTACCCGCTCCGGCCTGAAGAGTCCCTAATTAGAATAATCCCACGATGAGCCACGCGATCATTGCCCCCCTTGACCTTTGACTACCACCTGGGGAAAAGCCCTTTAGCAACATGGGGACCAATACAAACCTTCATGAGCTGTCTCAAGGAGGATTCGACGCTGTGGACTTACCTTACTTCCAGACATTGTTCTCGGCACGGAGTCACAAACCTCAATTCCGGAGATCGTGAAAACTACTCTGGCAGCTGCAGTTTGGTGAGCTCAGACATGGTTCCCGGCCCTCGGATCACCGGGTGCGAAACGTAAAACTGTCCTCAATGCCAACGTCGATCGACCCTTCGACTTAAACGGAGATCTAATTTGAATGGTTGTTGTCCGATGGTATCTTGCAGAGCTAAGTGCTTTTTGTTCTACCCCACAGTTCAGCATGGTCAACAGGAGGCTCGACTTAACAGCCGAAATCTTGACGCCTATAATTCTCCATGCGGTGAGAAACCTTGCTGCCCACTTTAGCGATGACCGCATCGCCACACAAGACTGCTTCCTCCCTAGCGACCCATCAGACTCGGTCGATACCAAATATTCATGGTCGAGCTTTTACACGGACTACGTACCTCTCAGTACTTACACATATGTTCAATTCGACAGGGCTGGCATTCTTGGTGCCTGGTAAAAGTGCCACTGATCCCGGTGGGGCCGACTGTCTTCGGTTGACGGTTTATCTTCATCTCATAACCTCTATTAGCACTTCGTTCGAAAGGCCTTCTTGCGCTCAGTGGACATGGAGAATGAAGGCTATGGTCAATACATAGAATACGCGATTTGGGGCTTCCATTGAACCATGATCGGTGGGCATGATTCTACGGTGTCCTGTGAGTCATTCCGGAATTCCAGTCTAGATTGATTAAAGTGCCTCTGCTCCCTGTTTCCCTGAGTGTCGATCCTACTCGAGGTGAACAACCTTTGTTCCATATACGGTTAGTTGCCATTGTCATGATCCTGACACGAAAGGTCAAGTGCGCCACGAAGGGTGAAATGTCTTCCCCGCCAGCTTGGTTCTAACTCGGCAAGTCGAGGAACACTCTTTCTTCACGTACTCGAGAATTGAAACCAAGCTTCGCAGTAATATGGGAGAAAACAATTACTCACTTTTGAGGTTTTAATCCGGTGTAATTGAGTACGAGCCGGCGTACCCTGACGCTTAAAAATCATGGGGATATATAGACTCGCCAAAGCTTTCAAATTCTCGACAGACCAAGATTTAACACATGAATACTCAAGACGAACTCAGCCCTATCCTTGAAACCCTCGTTTCTCTCGCTCATGACTGGCTCCTCGGCTTCATTCACGCTATGAAAACGTACCGAGCGACGATCGGGCTTCCACCACCTCATCCTCAATACCCACTTCCGGTAGAGTTCCCCTTTGGTGGTCTCACAGAAGTCTTTCACTGGGTTCAGATATTCGACAATGAAACCCAGGTCGATCGTAGCTTTCGCGTTCGTATGAGACATTACGAAGGCAATGCCGACCGCTGGGAGCCGCTTCATTGGGTAATATACAGTGGTATGTTGCTCTTCAACTTAATCCCGTCGGGAGTTTTTAAACCCATCTTGTTGTAGGAACGTTCACGTTTGGGACGGTGGAACTCGACCGCCGTGTATATGTCGACCAATCTGTCTTTTCGGTGGACCCTCTATTTGTTTTGGAGGGTATGGCGGACGCTGTGAAGCGTCGTACCAAGCTCACCGTCTCCAGCCGCATCCTCATGCAGGAGGTCAGCGCCGTTCAGGACGAAAATATCTGGTTCGAACTCTTTGAAGTTCGGACTGCCTCCGACGAGTTGGTCAAGGAATTGGGCCGTAGAAGAATTCATCGCCCTAGGTTTTGTCCCGAATGTCGAGTGTGGGTTCCTCATGCTGGGCCGCCGTACTGCTTGGAGCACTTGAGATCCCGATCGTAATCGTATAATATAGAAGCTCCGTTCATTCTTGGAGTTTGCCTTTAATATATGAAGCTTTTTGACTCTTCATAACTTGATAATTGTTTTTCCGGGCGACATACAGTCCCCTTTCTTTCCGACCTTTCCTCTGAACACTGTTGAGAGAGAACTAAAAACACCGCTTGTCCTGTTCCACCTTGACTCAGCCTTATAATACAGATAAATCGATGGATACTAGCGCACGGAAACGACATGTTGATTGGAATTACCTTACAAGTCGGAAAACATAATTCCGTCGCAGAGGTGAGGGAATCGATTCAGTCAGGGTAAGTCATAGGTGCGTTCCATGTACTTACGCTGACATGCTTTCGGCGGCAGGACTGGACCTTTAATTCTTCTCGAAACAGCAGGACTCCGAGAGCCCGGGACCGCATGCTCGCCTGACCAATCTTTGGCTCAGAGGTCACGAAACAGGTCGGCACTGAGAGCTGGGTAGCCCCACACCCTGACGACGTTGATAAAGTCGACTTCCCAAAAGACTCGTGAGTCATGGACGAAACTGAGAAGCGTTCCGAGAACCAACAAAAATGATTGATGGCTCGACTCATGTTGCGTCGATGGAGGACTCTACCGGACTGTACGTGTGGGAACTCGATTTGTCTTAAATGGGGTATCGAGCGTCAAGTTCGACTCGAATGTGCACGACAGAACCGTGTTAAGCAAAGAGCCAAGGATAGCGCACTGCGGGAGAAGATTTGGAGATGATACTTGGAGCTGGGGGCCCATGGCATCGGAATCCCAAACCCGCCGACGATTCGCTGCGGTAGCTTGGTGAGCAGCTCCCCGTAGCTTAGCGAGCGTCTACCAGCTCCGCTACGCGTAGCAAAAACCCCCGGAACTAGACACCGAAAGGACTCCCGGTAAACTTGGACGTCTGGACGCCAATGTCCGGGAAAACATCCTGCTATTTCCTGTTTGTCACAGCGACCACAAGATCCTGGTCCGAATTACCGAGCTACCCGAGCCACCGTCGCTTTTGTACTGCCGTTCGACACTGTCTGGGATTCCCCCCTGGTCAGAAGATGAATGAATGCAAATGTTCGATGACTAAACAGAAGTACTCCCGCCCTCGTCGCATGCTCGTAAGCCACCAATGGCGTCAACCCTGACACCAAGGAGCTCTATGATGGTATGTTCCAGGCGTAGAAAATCTCACGCCCGATGATAGAAAAAGATAGGTTCGGACAGGGGTGCCTGAGTGTATTCACTTTCTCGTCTATCGGTTTGAAGCCTCTCGAAATGTCCAAGAGAAGAATGACATGATGCTCTTCTGCGCTTTGACGCGTGCATGTCACCAACCTGTGGGGCTTGAATGCCTGAGATCCCTTGTGTTGCATCTAA